AAAACGGTTACTCTTCCTGTCTCCTAAGTGGGCGTGGTTAGCTGTCCCTCCAATCAGAGCCTGTTCTCCCTCAACCCCCCCCCCCACCACCGTGTTGAACAGAGGCTCTGTGGATGTCTGTGTATGCGGATCGAGAAGCAGGTGAAATGAAAATACATTCTTCCTATTATTGCAGCCTATTGTTGCACAAAGCTTGGGCATTTTTTATTTATTACTAGCGGTAAATAACTGTTTGTAAGCTAACTGTGATTTTACCGCCTGTTTATCAAGATCACGAGATCTCGCGAGAACTTGTTTTCTGAGATGGACAGGGCTCAAATAAAGTTAACTTTCTCTTGATCTGTGCGGATGAAAAATGCAGCTTTAGCGTCAGAATGTTGGTAAGATGTGTGGCTTGTGGAAAATGAACCCAATATTTACTTTAGTGACTACAGGGCTAAAGAATTGACCATAAATTGTGATCACGTTCATTTTCCTCATTGACGACAATACATTCAGAGCTGCCTCAAGTCTCCTACGGGGGGCGTGGCGCTGACGTCACTGAATCAGGAAGTGAGCTGAGTTGGGTATCTCGCTTCATCCAATATCTCTGGTTAAAGTCCGTAAACTGTGCTGGTAATGACGGTGTTGCAGGTAACTACATCAATACACGAATCATATTCGCAGACCGCAGAGAAATGTTAGTAAAGAGTTCACATAGCCTACCGTATAATTAACAGCAATTAGCAAGCAGCTTTCATAGCGGTATTCTTTTTAAAGTGTACTGTGTTTGGTGTGTGTGTGTGTGTAACGATGTTTTCCTATTCGTCACGGTTTTTAAAGGGCATGTTGCTGTTTGGATGATATGGTATATTGCTCGTGTGTGTGCCTGTAAAAGTAGTGTAACTTCACAGACACAAGTTTATAGCCTCCACGGAGTCAGTAAACTACACTGTAGCCAGATAGATAGATAGATAGATAGATAGATAGATATAATTTGGTGTTATAAGAGACTGTTCTTTTTCTTTCTTTTTTTTTTTTTACCCTCCCCAAAGATACAAATAGTTTTCCTTGAGCCCCCTGTTTGACTGGGGGGAAGTGCATGAGCCTCTCTCCACCATAAATTAGTTAGAAGATAACTTACTCTCTGATGTTTGAAAGTTAAAAGTTAGCAGGTAAAATTTGAAGACAGTGTTGAAAAGAGCCTTGGTCTTACATTCTTGTCATGCATACTGGTAAGTTGATGTGCTTTATTTACAGTTTGTTTTGAGCTAAATCTTAAATGAGACATAGAAAACGAAGTGATTTTGATGAAATATTACTATTTTAGGCTCAGATTTGTTTTGTTTTTTTCTTTCTCAGAATTTTAAAAGTCCAATGATAATTTCTGTTTTTTCCTTGAAAAGCAGTGGTTAAATAAATACAAAATAGAGCCATTTAAAGTTGTATGCCCCTCCCCTAAGCAAAAAAGCAACAACAAAATGAGTCCCCCCAAGTTAATAAAAAAATATTTGACATGCCTCCCCCTTTTTGTGGTGTGTGTGTGTGTGTGTGTGTGTGTGTGTGTGTGTGTGTGTGTGTGAGTAATCCGGCGACTGCCTCTTCATCCAGCATCCTTAGAACCATTTCAGCTGTATACCTCACAGCCACAACACTGGATGAGGAAACATAAAAGGAAGAGAATGTTTTGAATGACAAGCAAACCTATTGATCAATATGTAGCTATATGAATAAATGCACACACGCATGCATGCACACACACACACGCTTGCACGCACGCACACTCGCTCACTCACTCACTCACTCATTCACTCACTCACTGTCACACACACACACACGCGTGTGCAAAACATACAGTAAAGTACATCTGTCTGTCTTTCTAATGTTAGCTAGCTAGCTTAGCCAGCTAGTTTCACAAATATAAATTAGGCATGATGATAGATGATAAGAAACACATACTCTTTCACACAATAGTCATGAATCACACACACACACACACACACACAGTACATACAGTAATGTTAGCTAGATCAGTTAGCTAGCGTTAATTTGTTGATACATGATAATTAGACATACTCTTTCACACTCTTTGATACGTACACACATTTCTGAGGTAAAAAGTGAAAGTAATACTTAAATGTAACATATCTTGCTGTGTAAAATAATCTTCTTAAGGGGTGACACTTAAGATATAGTCTGTGTGGTCCACAAAATATAAATTCCTGACAGTCACAGTTGATAAGATTCAAAGGTTCCCATGAAATTCCATAGGAAATGAATGTGGGTCATTTTTGACCCTCCTATGGAAGCTTGGGTAGTAATACAAAAACTAGAATTTTGTAAAATGTATAAAAGGTATGCTAAAAATTTAAATGGCATGACATCAATAACATGTTTTTGAGGAATAGCTGGAAGATGAAATAATAACTTTTCATTACAAAGATATTGAAGAAATATATAAGAATAAGAAAACAACCTCACTGGGTCATTTATGCACCCAAGGGTTAAGGAAATGTTCTGTTCTGCTCTGCTCTGCTCTGCTCTGCTATGGGTTTTAAAAGGTCTGAGATGACTGAGGTGAGCCATCAGCAGTGGGGAGAGGTGGCTGGCTTGGGTGCTGTGGAGATGTGGGTCCTCCAGTCCTCCCAGGTGCGGGTGGAGGTTGTCACCCTGGGTGCCATCATCAGGTCTGTGTGGAGCAAAGGGAAGGATGGTCAGATGGAAGACGTAACCCTGGGCTTCAATGACGTGGAAGGCAGGAAGATAGTTGTTTTTCTTTACGTAGACCACATAAAAAAGAATCAAAGTGAATGAAATTATTTCAGAACTTAAAAATATTTGAGAATGATTTTTGTTGATTTCATCAGTCAGTTTGCTGGGCTACCCCACATGTCAAAAGATCACAAAGAAAATTATCTGATTATAGTTCTGCAATGTAGAAATGAAGTAACTTCTGTATTAAAAAGGTTCTTGTAGCTTTTGAAATCTAAACAGAAAATGTTTACTGTAATATTCATGGTGTTTGTAATATGACATATTTGAGATGTATTTATTATATTTACATTTAATTTGCTGCTGCATGATGTCATGCAGGAGCAATTGTGTTTGGTTATTTTTAATTTCAGTAAAAACATTTTAGGCAGCAACTGAATATGCCCAGGAACACAGTCTTGTGTTGTGTTGTGTTGTGTTGTCAGGCTATATGTCAGATACGCGGTACCTGGGAGCTACGGTGGGCCGTGTGGCCAACAGGATTGCAAAGGGACGCTTTGTGGTGGAGGGAAAAGAGTACCAACTGGATATCAATAATGGACCTAATGCACTGCATGGAGGGCTGCGGGGCTTCAATAAGGTAAGACTTAGTGAATATGTGTTTGTTTATCATTCCCTTGAGTGAGTGTGTAGAAAGCTCATAGTAATTTCTGTACAACCTAAGTGGAAAAATACCATTTCTCACTCTGTACTTGCCTCACAAAGGTTTTCCGACCCAGTTGCAGGTACATGAGGTTTGTAAAGACTCATAAAATAAGTTGCCACACACTCAAAGTATATAAATGTAACCTGTTATTCCATTAGGTTTGGCTAAGGCATGGCAGTCTGTCCTGAATGATGTTTTCATACCAGAAAGAAAACATAAAGAAATACTGTAAAGTCATGTTTCCACCAAAAACTTTCAGATTAGTACCCTTAGAACCATATGTAGCCTGTATGGACAGGTACCCAGGATCTGGTTAGCCTTTCCACCGTAGACAGTACTCTGAAATCTAGGCAGGGTTGTTGTCACCGATTGCTCTGTCCAGCTTTCGCTGTATGTCCTCATCACCAGGGATACAGAGGAACATCTCTCATTTAACATCACACACTGGCACATGCAGACTCTACACCTACTATACTGTTATTATGACTGTGTGTCTTTGTGCCACACATTGAGCTGTGCATGTTTGTGTGACAGAAGTCCTGTGGCTTCTATTTATTTATTCTCCTGTAGATCAAACTATGTTTTAAGCAGAAGCTGTAAAACAAGAGAGAAAAGGAACAGTGTCCCCATCAGCAGCTGGCAGCAGACATAAAGTAGTTTCACACTGCTGGTTTGGCTTTATTAGGGAAAATTGCAGTGATCGAGTGATGATATATCGACTTCTTTAAACACATAAAATAAAAAGGTTTGGGATAAGGATCCCTCAAAGTCAAGATATAACATCATTTTACAAGCATCTAGAAGGGTTGCAAATTCTGAGCACTTAAAGCTATAGTGCATAACTTCTGTCGCCTCCCAGCGGATAGTGCGTTATTACAACTAATAAGCCGGCGGCACTTCCATGTACACAGAGTAACACTCGCCAGTCGCCACACACCGTACACAGAGTAACACTCACTACACACCGTGTATTGAGTGTTATTTCCTGTGCACCAGCGCGGGAATGTTGCCGGTCTACACGCAAACTAAAAATGATATATATTGAAAAATACAGCGAGATGTTAGAGGAGCCGATCAGCTTAATCAGCATTGGGTGAAACGGACATTTACAGACCTGTAGAAGTTACGCACTATAGCTTTAACTTAATAGATCAGTGGTAACATTAACAACAAAAATGCATTAAGCAAATGATGAGGAATGGTTAGTAATATTTTGTGTGCATTGACTTTGGCAGAATACAACAGAGCACCAACAGAAGTAAGAATTTTCTTTCAAAATGAAAACAAATGTATTGATATAAAGGATTGAATGATGTGGTTACATTAGAGGTGGGAATCACCAGAGGACCCACTATACGATATTATCACAATACTTAGGTCCCAATATGATATTATTGTGATATCAAATGTATTGCGATATGCTGACTATTGTGATAAAATATACTGCGATTTATTACCTTTGTTTCCAACTGCAAATTATTTCCTCAAAGGAAAACTTGATCAAAATCAGTTTGACCTCATGAAATAAAGTTTTCAGTCTGTTCATCTGACTTCAATCATTTTGCAGCAAAATGTGATGCAAAGCAGACAGACTGACCAACACCGTCTTAAGACCTGTCAGAAATGCTGCATACACCTGACAAACTGAACTGTTGGCAAATTTAATGCCCTCTGTGAGGCCAGATTAAGCGTGTGAGCGAAACACTTCACATGCAGGTATCCCACTTACTGAGTGGCAACACCCATGTTTGAAGCATTGTCTGTAACAGCAACAATAGCCCATTCTTGTGCTGCATTTTGCAGGGGGTCTGCAATGTTTCCTCCAGTGTGACTTTTGTTTACTGCTCTAGTGAGATGTGAGACAGCAGCCGACAGTTCTCTGTGAGATAATGTAAACTCACACATGAATCCACTGACTTTGAAGTCCAGGGGTCGTATTCACAAAGCCTCCTAGTGCTAAGAGCTGCTCCTAGTGATGAAATTCTAGGAAAAAAATTCTCTGAAAAATATTGTTTAGTATTAACTGTGCATATGACAATAAACACTTTGAATCTTGAATCTATATGTTTTATCAAGACCCTGTGTGCGCTCAAAGCTGTGCCACACGTTACTATGAAAAATAATTATGAGGAATAACAGTGTGTTCCTGTATGTGCTGTGCACATCAGACACACAAATTAAATGAATCATCATGACTGTCATTTATCCTAATTTGTCCGCACATATCCCACATCTGCATGCACATATGAGATAGTTTACCGCACCCAAAAAATGCGTCAGGGCACAACAGAAACACATCCACCCTCAAAACCTGCGACATTTCACAGATATCAGGCAACTGACAGGTGTAATTGAGCTCAGCTAGAACCTCATCAAGGATGCTCCACCAGCTACTCTATATAAAGGCGTTGCCACATCACACATGTGTGAGATACCATGGCTGCTTTACAGCATATTCTCGCTGCTATCCAACAGCGTCGCCGTGTGCGAAGCCAAACCGTATATGTAAATGCATTTGTGCGTCAGCACTTCAGCCTACTCAACGTGCTGACAGACCGGGCTGTCCAAATGAAGTAACGGCTGCCACGTGCTTAGATACAACACCTCATCAACTTAGTGTTTCCAGACATTCGCACGTACATGTCACATTAACTCTTTTACAACTGTCAGCGTGCTGCCTGTGTGTTTTCATAGTTTATACCTGGCGTTTTGTCTGATTCTCAGTGTAGATTAATATAGTCCATAAATCTGTCAATTTTGTCCTTCCATGAACTGGTCACGTTAAGATGATCATTAGCAGAGACACAACATTGATGAATGCAAGTAGGATACAATGTGGTCAGGATACAATGCTGGGACCGTATTCCTAAAGATTCTTAGCGCAAAGAGTTGCTCCTAGTGGCCAAATTCTGAGAAAATTCTTAGAAACATGATGTTTTCTAAGAATTTCCCCTCAAAGTTAAGAGTAGATCCTGGTAAAGATAAAAGGTATTCCTAAAGAATCTTAGCTCTTAAGAGAGCTCCTAAGGTGAGATCTGTTAACAGCAGGGAGGAGGACTTTTAAGAGGCTTAGGAGTTTCTTAAGCAGAGGAGAAAATGGCGGAAAGAAGAGGCAGGAGAGATATTCTCCAAACACTGAATGACAGTGAATTAATTAAACGCTACAGATTGGAAGGTGCAGGAATCATGTTCGTGGTTGATCTCATTAGAGATGCGCTTACTTCTCCAACCCAATGCCACAATGCAATATCACCAGAAATGAAAGTCATCACAACACTGAGGTATTTAGCAACAGGAAAAATGCAACAATGCAGCAGTGATGACTTGGGTCTGTCACAACCCTCCATCAGCAAGGTCATCAAGCAAACACTGACAGCACTGTCACAGCCTCATATTGTGACACAGTTTGTTTCGTTTCCACTGGATATCCACACTTCACAGGCTCACAAAAGGACATTCATGGACATCACAGGATTCCCCGGTGTTGTGGGTGTAATTGATGGGACACACGTCCGTATAATTGCACTGTCAGAAGATGAATCCGTCTTCGTGAACAGGAAGAGATTTCACAGTATCAATGTTCAACTTGTTTTCAATGCTGACTATAAGATTTTGGGAATTGTTGCTAAATGGCCAGGCTCAACACATGATGCCAGAATATTCTCTGAGAGTGGCCTCAGACAGCTTTTCGAGGGAAATTATGTGCCAGCCAATTGCCACTTGTTAGGGGACAGTGGCTACCCATGCAAACCATGGCTCCTAACACCTTACCTCCATCCAGACCAAGGGCCACAACTAAACTACAACAGGTAACCCAAACAATATAGAATTATGCATGGAAATAAAATGTAAAGAGCATGTTGGAGTATCCTGGTAGTTTAAATGTTTCCCTCAAATAATGTACATTGTCATGTATTAAATTATTCACATTATTTCCAGTTGTTTTGAATTAAATTTTGATTATGTCTGTATTAACTTGTAGGGCCCATAAGACAACAAGGGCAGTAGTGGAGTGTGGCATTGGCCAACTGAAGATGCGCTTTCATGTTTGACCCTGATAAAGTCTGCAAAGTCATCACAGCCTGTGCAATACTACACAACATTTGCAAGGCTAGACCGATTGCAGAACCTCTCGAGGGTCATGAAGACAGCGATGATGATGATGGTGGTGATGAAAACATTCACGCTCCACAGGGGAACCTGGCCCAGAGTGGACTGCCTTACAGAGCCCAATTACAAATCTACATTTCAGGCCAGTTATAGTATATGTAATTTAAGAACTTGGTGACTGCAGTGAACTAATATACCAACTAATATTTACTACACATAGCCTACAGTTGTTAAATACATGACACATATTACACACAAAGACACATTAATACACAATATCTATTTGCCATGGGATTTATTTTTTAGGAGATCAATTTTTAGTCGGTAGTACTCCTCCTGTAGGCATAGAACTCTTTTCTGCTGTCTGAGGACATCCATTGTCATCTCCGATCTTCTGTCCTGCAGGGATGGTGTTGGAGCAGCGGCTGGAGCAGTGGCAGCAGCAGCAGCGGGCAGGCTGAACTGTGATGTTTCAGGCTGAGGGTTATACACCTGCAATGTCGAAGGCCCCGGTTCCTCTGATGGCTCCATGCTACAGAAAGGGGAATACATTTAGTTTATTTAATTGTTTTGTTTTCATTGATTTCACAGAATGAGCATGTACAAGAGATATGAGAAATGGCTTAAGTAATGAATAAATATTGTTCTTGATATTTTTTTACCTGCCTATTGATATATGAAAACTCACTTCTACCTTTGTTGCATTTCATTGAGCTGCATCATTGAAGAGTCAATACCTTCCCTCAGCCCGTTGATACTAATTCTGACTGTCCCAGGAAATTAAACACTGTTTCTGCAACCTGGGACAGCTGCTTAGCAGGTGG